GCTCTTCATTGTGGTGCACAAGCTTCTTATTGTGGTGGCTTCTCTTGTTGAGCACGGGCTCTAGGCACACGGGCTTCGGTAGTTGTGGCTACTGGCTTCAGTAGTTGTGGCTTGCAGGCTTAGTTGCTCCACGGCACATGGGATCTTCCCGGACCAGGGCTCGAACCTGTGTCCCCTGCATTGGCAGGTGGATTCTTAACCACTGTGCCACCAGGGAAGCCCTGTATGTTGGGTTCTGATCACACCCTTCCATCTCTCCTGCCCCTACTGGGGTCCAGGCAAAGAACCCCTCCTCCCTGGAGTCTGTTCTGGCTCAGTCCCAGCCCCCAGGCTGGCTCCTTCCCCTCCATTGCCCCTTTGATGCCCATGTCACTCCGCTGCTTAAAATCCTCCAACGATTCCAGGATTCCACCTCGTAACCTCCACTCCAGGGTTTTTCATACTGCGTGTCACAACTGGTTAGTGGACTGTGAAATCAACCAGCATTTTTCAATAGCCTAGACTAGATCAGAGTCTGTGCACATAGTATAGACATAGTATAGACTAAGGTATAGGTGAAGTATGATTTCAAGAAACTTTTGGGGACTTCCCTGGTGGCGCAGTAGTTGAGAATCTGCCTGCCAATGCAGGGGACATGGGTTTGATCCCCAGTCCGGGAAGATCCCACACGCTGCAGAGCAACTGAGCCCTCGCACCACAACTACTGAGCCTGTGCGCCTAGAGCCCGTGCTCCCCAACAAGAGAAGCCAGCACAATGAGAAGCCCGCGCACCGCACCAAAGAGTAACCCCCACTCGCCGCAACTAAAGAAAGCCCTCGCACAGCAAGGGAGACCCAACACAGCCAAAATACAAATAAAATTAAAAAAAAAAAAGAAACTTCTGTTTCAGTGTCATATGCCTTGGAATCATGATGTAAATGTATTTCTTACTGTGGGTCAAAACATTTTGCCAAACCCTGCACTACACAGACCTGCCTCTCCTAAATCCCATGTACAGACTGGCTGGATGATGTTAATATCAGCTTAGATTTCTCTCTTTGCTGGGACCCATGCCAAGTGATTTTACCTGCTTTGGTCTTGGACTCCTGGCCACACCCCAAGCGCTGTTAATGATTCCCAGTTGACAGATGGTGAGACTGAGGCTCATACTGGAAAAAGCCCATGCCTGAGGTCACCAGGCTGGGAAGGGGGAGAGCAGGGCCTGAGTCCCAGCCAACCTCCCCCCCTGAGCCTGCCCACTCGCCCGCTGGCCCTGCCCCTCCTAGTCTGCCCCCCACCTACACAAAGAACTCAGCCGTGCCAGCTCATCCCCAGAGCCTCCAGGTGCAAGCTGCCTCAGAGATCCTTCAACATCCCAGCCAGCAGTACTGGATGAACCCCCACTTTGCAGGCTAGAAAACCGAGACCAGAAAGCATTTCCAAGAATCCACCATGCTATCACTCTTCTCCAAACTCCCCTCTTTGAGGGGCAAGAGAGAGAAATGGCTAAGGACGCTTTGACTGTCTGGGTTCAGATCTCATGCTTCAAAACTTTGTAGCTGTGTGATCCGAGGCAAGCTCGCTGAACCTCAGTTTCCTTCACTGCAAAATAGGAATAATAATAGTAACTACCCATAAAGCCATGCTCAAGACTTAAATAAGTTGAGATAAGTGTAAAGTTCTTAGATCAGTGGCCACACCCCTTGGTTGGGAATCTTCCCAACATCTCTATGTAATTAGACTACTATTTGCCCCTGAAGTTTGTCGCAGAGAAAGGGAGGCCCTTGCCTGAGTTCGCACAGCTAGGAAGCAGGAAAATCAGAATTTAGATGCAGATCTGCCTGGGCTTTTAACCACGTAGTCACAATAGTCCTTCAGGATGTTAGTATCAGCAGCAACGACATTTTCCGAATTAAGGAACAGGAGACTCAGAGAGGGTAAAGACGTGCCCAAGTCACACAGCCTGTAAACGGCAGAGCCAGGTTTCAAAGCCAGGCTTGTGTGTATCCAGTACAGGCTGACTTTTGTCCCAAGAGCCCCTCCATAAAGCTCTGGTGGGGCAGGAGGAGAAAGCAAGTTGAGAGCTGCCCTTGTCTCCAGCTCAGTCTGGGGGTCTTGTATCCCTGGTTCCAGCCCCTGCCCAGCCTAGGGTGACTGCTTCCCTAAAGGCTCTAGGGTGGGGGTACTGGGGTGGCACAGATGATGGCAGAGGGTGCAGCCTCCCCCTGCACCGGCCTCTGATTGGGGCCCCGCAATCCCCCAGGATTTGGTGCTTGGAAGGCTGACGTTGTGTTGCTATGGCAATGGGTTTGGGGCGGTTGCCATAGCAGCAGAACTAGCCTGGGTTTAAAAATATCTAGGAGGAGGTTTGTGTTTGTGTGTGAGTGTGAGTGCGTGACCGACCGTGCTGTTGTGTGTGTCCAAATGGGAGGGTTTGGGGGGTGTGTGTGGAACTGGGGCTGCAGGCATGACTTGAGGGTGGGGGCTGAGCAGCACCCTGACTCCATGTGTGCTGTGTGTGTTGCTGAGTGGCCTGCGAGGTCCCATGCATTTTGTGCATTAGTCTACGTGGGCCATGTATCTAAATGTGTGTGATTCCGCAATTAGTGTGGAAGACACAATTGAGTCTGTTTGTCAGTCTATATATCACGTCACTAACAAGTATGCCTTATGTAACATAGGTTGTGTATGTCTTGTAGCTTGGATCCTGTATGTGTAACTTCTCATCATGTGTGTGGCCAAGCGTGGATTTGTTTTGGCTCTGAATAGGTGCACCTGGGACATACTCAGATATTAGATTCTGTATCTATTTGTGCATAAGAACCTGTGGCGTGGCTTTGTGAATGTGCATAATGCATAATGCACATTCACATGAGTGAATGTGCATTATGCATTATGGGTGTGTGTGTATGAGTGTGTATGCCTATTCCCTGTGAGTCTTCTTCATACATTAGAGTGTGCCTGTGTAAAATTGTTGAGTGTGCACCTGTGTGTCTGCAGGGGGACGTGTGTGACTCTGTGTGTGTTGGGGGGAATTTCACACCTTACTCCACGGATGTTGGGATATATATACCTGTGTGGTGTGACTCCATGTCACTCGAAGGTCTGAGGTGTGGATCTCTGCCTGACCCCAGTATCTCCCTGCATCCCTCTGCCTCTTCTCTGTCTCCATGGCAACCAGCTCCTCAGCTCCCTCCAAGAAGATGGAGGGGGAGGATCCAGACTGCAGTGGACCACAACCCCCTCCCATCCCCTTTGACTCTGGGGACAATGGGGGGGAGGGGACAGATGGGCGGCCACCCCATCCACCCCAGGCCATCTGCTACCCTCCCCATCCTGGGGACCTGAGAGCGTGGCAAGGGAGGGACAGGAGTGGGGTGGAGCAGAGGGAGGGGCCCCCCAGCTGCCACAATTGCCCCCATCCAGGCCCCCTCTGAGCCTAATCTTGCCTCTGGCTGACCTAGGAAGGAAAAAGAATCCTTGGAGACCAGAAATCCAGGGAGAAGAAAATTCATGTATCAGACAAAATTAAATATTAGCAATGATCCATTCTAAGGAAGCGGCCCCTACTTCCAGTGACTTTGGGCTCTGAAATTAAGCTTGGCCTATGTTTGAATCCCAGTTTTCCCTCTGTCTACCTATACACCCTTGGACAAGCTACACTCCACATTCCTGGGCCTCCATCTGTCATATGAAAATCAGGTTTTCTTAATGACGTGAATAGTAATACTTACTCCTTAAGGGCCAAGACTGTTTAGTCCCCTGTTGTATCCCAGTGTTTGGGACAGTGCCTGGCACTTTGTAGGTTCATAAGTGCCATTGATTGAATTGAGTGTCAGTTGGGTGCTAGGCTCAAGCACTACATTTTGTAAGTCAGCTGTTCATTGAACTCAATCCCCTAAGCCCTTGCAGTAACTCTGTCGATTCTTCAAGGGATAGATGAAAGATTTGAGGAGCAATTTCCCAGCTGTAGGGCATGGGAGACATGTGAAGTGGGATTTCTTTTAGCAACCAAGTGATGTCAAGTGGCTGAGGCTCAGTTTCCTCATCTGTAAAACGGGGGTAACAGGAGTACCTCACAGAATCGGTTGCTCTAGGAATTAAATGTGTTAATGTTTGTGAAGTGCTTACTTAGAACCGGACCTGGCACATGGTAAGTACTTGTTCAACAAACGCTCATTACAGGCGAGGGGTGGGGAAACTGTGGAGGAGCCCAGGGTCCTTATTGCAGCCTGGGGGAGCCTGGTCCCTCGCGTAGCTGCGGGGAGGGGCGTAGTCAACTCAGGGGGCGTGGTCCAGGATTCAAGGACAGGCCAATGGGGCGTCGAAGGGCGTGGCCCTGACCTGCATGGGCGTGACCTTGCGCGGGTGGGAGGGGCCAGGCCGCTGTGGGAGCCTCCGGGAAGAAGATGCTCGGGCCAGCAGCCACCGCCAGCCCAGCCACCGCTGCCGCCCGCGCTCGCCGCCCCCCGGGTCCCCACTAACGGCCGCCTCCGCCTCCCATCTCCGGCCCCGTTCCTCCGGCCCCCCGCCCCGGGAAGGGTCTGGGGGGCTAGGCCCTCTGCCCCGGGGAGCAAAGAAGGGGGTCCCGTCCCCCCCAGTGGCGCGGCCAGTCCCCCGGCCTCCGTAATCTTGAGAGAGACCCCACCCCTCAGTTCTCTCTGGGCCCTATCCGAGACCCCCTTTTCCTTCCCGTCCCGCTCACATCCGCTCTCCAGGCTCTGTCAGCCCCCCAGAAGCAGCTCCCTCCCTCCTCCCCTCTCCGGGGTTCCCCCTCCCCCATCCCTCCGCCACCGCCCCC